TGATTAGATTTTAGAAACAATCTAAAAAATTGGAAATGTTTGGACGTTGAGTATTTCGAGAAGGAAGGAATCATTTAGACCAAAACTTTTCGGATATTCTTCAGATCATGACATCTACTTATAGACAAAAATTTTAGGTCCAAAAACTCGTTGCTCAATTTTCCTGCCAATATCTCACCTCAGAGTAAAAAAATTAGTACAATCGTCGTAGTTTTGTATAGAAGTCCTATGAACCTGAAATAGCTTCGAATTATCTAATCTAGAGGCTTTTCCTAATTCCTCAAAATGTGAACTCCAAAAGAGCGAATCAGTTCGGACGGGTTTCTTATCAGTATTTAAATTAGTTAACTATACATTTATACGGATTAATAGTGAAAGATTCATAATTCGAGATGTATAGGGCAAATCTCCTTGGTTTTCCGTTATATTGATTATGAAGGTAGAACAATAGACAAAACATATACTATTCAGCAGAAGAAAATATTTACTCTAATTCTGATTGCCATGCGACACATAAAAATCTATTATTGCATTCATATTGTTTTTATCATGATATTTAAACAATTTCGATTTAACACTTTTAATAACCTCAGGAAATGTTAAGCAAGATATGAATGATTCTTTCTTGAGATATACGACTCTTATATAACGAAACTTTGCAGATTATCTCATGGTTCTATAATTGAAATTTCCAACTTGTAACAAGTCTAGTAAAACGATCATCATTTCGGAGCAGTAGACTTATAAATGCTTTTCAAATTTTGTTGAGTTATACGCATTTTTAAAAGTATACAATCTTGTAAAAATATAAATTTTTAAAAAGAAATATTTTATTTAGACATTTATTTTATTTGATGAATATGAAGAAGCAAAAATTTATCTTATGAAAATTTATCATTATAAAAAAATTGATGATTCATTAAAAGAAAAAGTATTTCAAGATATAACTAATAGTATAGATTCTTTGTTTCTTTTTTGTTTTTGTTTAAATTATTTTTATGAAATATTTTAGTTCAACATATTCTTACAGGTCTTGAAAATGATTATGAAAAAGAAATTAATTTAAGAAAAAAAATCTATTTAGCAGAAAAATGTGCTGATATATTTTCTCATTTTAATCGATATGAACAAAGTAAAAATTATTATCTTAAACAAGTAAATAATAAAAAAAAATAATTTTCATTAAAAAATAAAAAAAATATTCATTTTTAAATTTTAGTTAAAACATTCTCAAGAATTAAATTTAGATGAAAATCATATGGCAACTATTTATTCATCACTTGGTTGTATTTATCAAGATTTAAAAGAATGGCAATTAAGTATTGATTATTTTCGACGTGAAATGAGTTGTCGTATTGGTTTAGATATTCATGCTGATATTGAAGTATAATATTATTTTCTAAATAAATATTTTTAACACAAAAAAAAAACAAATATTTTGATTTTTCAGCAAGGTTATTCACTTTGTGAAATAATTAAATGTGAATATCGTCTTAAAATTGATCTTAATTCACGAATAAGAACATTTCAACGAGTATTAACTATTGCTCGATCGACAAATGATAGAAATTTAATTGTAAAAAAAAAAAAATTTTTTTTTTTTCTAATTTAAATAAATATTCAATTTGTTTTTTTTTCTTTCGAATAGAGAATGGCAGTTGCACTTGTATTTGCTATGAAATTACGTAATTCACATATATATTTAAATAATGATTTAGAAGAATTTATAGCAAATATTCAACCACCTATAACAGAAGAAAATTATAGTGAAATTTTACGATGTTCTGAATGTTATTTTAATGAAATTACAAATTTAATAGAATCACATGAAAATCTAACAGATAGCGATGACGATAACGATGAAGAAAATCATGAAATCATACAAAATAGAAAAGATTTAATGGTACTTTATTGTATTTTACTTTTGAATGACTAGATAATATTCTGTTGACTTTGTTTTTTTTTTTATTCTCTAGAAGATAAATTCTTCTCATGAAAATCGTTTAAATTTAGCATGTAAAGAAAAAAATGGTTTAGAAAAAATCAAACAATATATTATTGAAGGAGTAGTTAATATACATATTTTAGTCAATCAATTGTTAATTTTTCTATTACATTTAGGACAATATCAATATTCTTGATTGTCATGGTTGGACACCATTACATAATGCTGCTTATTATAGACATATCGATATTGTTCGATATCTTCTTGATCATAAAGCAAATATTAATGCACGAACAAATAATGGCATAACTGCTCTTATTAATGCATGTTATAATAAATATTTCGATATCATTGAAATATTATTGATATACGGTGCACGAATTGATATTCGTACAAATAATGTTTGATCTTTTTTGTTTTTATTGTTCTTGAGTCTTATTTTAGTTTTGTATTATTATTTTAGGGTTATACAGCTATTGATTATTTGATTGATTATAATAAAAATATATCATTAGATGATCATCGAAAATTGAATTGTTTTAAAGAACAACTTTTAGCTACTATACGAAGTATGAAAATGTTATTGATATAGATCGATATAAAATTCTTTTTTTTTGTTTTTGTATTTAGAAAACGAACCAATTTATTGTATACAACAAATTATTCGAAATGATTTTGATAACAAACAAACATTAGATAAAGAAAAAAATTCTCAATCTTATTATAAAACTATTCGAACAAATCGTAATATGATAACAAATCAACGAGTATGTTTAATAAAGAAAAGAAAGAAATTTTTCATTGATACATATGAAAATAATTCAATTGCTAATGATTCTGAATGTATTGAAACAATATCAAGAATACAAAAAGAACATTTACATTCACCATTATATACACCTGAACAAAAACGACAATGCACAATGACAAATAATCAATCACTATTATCAAATGATATTGAAATATTTAATACTGATAATTTTGATTTTATGATATCATTTCAAAAAAATTCACCTATTTCATCATTTCAAACAATAACACCAAAATCAACAATAAGATCACGACAAACATCAACAACATCATCAATTAATACAACAATTCTTCTTTCACCTTCTATTTTACATGATACAAATACAAGAATTATTCGATGTTTAGCTAATACAAATGATCGAACAATTCAAGATAAAAGACTTCGAATACCAATGTAGGAAAAATTCATATAGTTTTATAATATTTCATTTTTTTTTCAGATCATCATCAGATACTATAACTAATCTTCGTTATCAAATACTTAAACGTTTATATGATAATTTTAATATATATGCATGTTTTGTTACACTTTACGATAGACAAGATTGGGAATTAGGTATATTCGAAAGTGATACTATTCAATTGACTATACCGGCTGATGAATCTGATGTAAGTAAAATGCAAGCACTTCGTTGTTTTTGTTTTTGTTTTTATTTTTGATATAAAATTTTATTTATTATAAGATTAAAGCAATTTATATTGAAAAAAATCCAATTATTGTTTATGAAGAAATTTGTAAAGAAAAGTGTTTAGTTGTTTATTCAAATATTCGATCTATATTAAAAATATTTTTTGATAAATTTGAATTATCACTTCAACGATTAAGTTTAAAATTAGAACAAGCTATTAGTATATTAAAAGTATTCGAAAATTTTATGTTTATTTATTCAATTGATTTATCAGGTAATTAATTAATTAATTTTATTTTTAATCTTTATAAAACTATTAGTATCATTCCGACGGGATTAAAATATAAAACATGACGTAGCTGCTATTAATAATTACAGTGAAATTCTTTTATTCTATTTATTTTGAGACACATTTCCGTTTAGATTGTACTTTACAACAATATTCTTTTTTTTTGTTTTCATTAAGAGAATAATCTAACTGATGAAATATTTGATCAATTAAGCAAATTAACATTAGATCAACTTAAATCATTAAATTTATCAAAAAATAAATTTACATCAAATGGTATTGGAAAATTATTTGAAGAAAAAACTATGGTAAGATTTGATGTAAAAATAATAAATATTTATATTTGATTATTTATTTAGAACAATTTACTTATACTTGATTTATCAGGAAATATAGATATTGATTATATTACATTAATTTTTCTTCGAACACGTTTTCCGAATCTTACTATTTATCATTGAACAGTTATATACTATTGTTCTTTTTATTTATTGAAGAAATGTTAAATAGAGATTTAACATTAGTTTTTTGGTTTTTGTTTTTAGATATAAATTTCATACTTATTATCACGAACTGCATCAATATGTAATCAATTAATTTGACATAAATTTTTTCGTTATGGAGAATGAATCTATTGAGACAAGTATAAATATAAAAACAAGGGCGTTTTTGGTTAATAAATATTCAAGAGTAGTCGAAGAATCATAAACATTAACAAAAATATTAGTCCTAGAAGTTCTTCTATAGTTTTATTAAACAAACTGAGTCGAAACTTCTGCATTACCTTTGGTTCATATATCATAATCAAAGAGTTTATTAAAAGATCCGGAATATGTCAATGATTACTTTTATTCATCTTGTTTTTGAATAGACCCTACAACAGTTTTAGATCAAAAGAGCTAAACAACTCTTGAAAAGTTCTTTTGATAAGGGCTAATTTTCTATAGACAGTTTTTTTTTGTAGACCTGAACGACTTCAAAAATTTGTTTCATTCTATAACTGAAAACAATAATTTTCTTCCGATAGATTTTTTTCGGAAATCATTTCCTCAAATTGGAACTATTATCAAAATGTCATTAAAAAAGAATAGTCGATATAATTTTAAATATTCATGCAATATTTTATATAGTAAGATCAAAATGAATTAAGATATATTAGAACTAAAGTAGAATGAATCATTTTATGATATCTTGTTGTATCATCAAACCTTTTAATGAATGTTTTAATAGAATTATGATACCTCTATGTAAAACTGTAACAACAAAAAAACTGAATAGTAAAATATATTTAATAAAATTGATTAAACAATCATTATATATTCTTCTAATGATAATAGTAAAGAGTTTATGCAATTTTTAAATGATATTATTCATTTAATGTAAAATGAATAAAATTTCTAGTTAAATTTTACTTGTCTAAGTTTTCTTTTTTTCAACAACTACATGAAAAAAAAAAAAGTTCAAGCATACATTGAATATAATTATTTCTACAATTACAACGATAGCTGCAGGCATTCATGCGAATAGAATAAAAAAAGAAAAGAAACAGCGACAGTTTGTTACATCAAACCGAACGTTTTTTTTTTTTTTTTCTTTAAATATAATGGTGCATATGAGCATTGCTAACAGCCATAATATGAAAGAACAAAAAAAAAATAATAAAGTCCATTAGATACTTAACAAAAACGTGTAGTGACGGCAACAACGATACTTAATGTACAACAGTAAAAGTTATTTGTGTTGATAGGCACTAGTAAGTAAAAACAACAAATTTTCTTTGGTTACTTATAAATATCAAACTATCATTTAGCTTCTTTTTTTTTTTCCTATTTTCTATTTAGTTTAAAATGGCTGATTTAAATACAGTAGTTGAAGATGTTCCTGCTGAAGCTTCCGGTTCAGAAAAACGTAGTTCAAAACCACGTGTCTCTGTACCTCGTAATCAAAACTTACCCGGCACTAGTGGTTTTGGTGTAAATGCTGCAGCTGCAGCTGCACGAGCTCGTCGTCAATCATCTCGTACTTCAATTCCTCGTGCTGGATTTGATCGTCGACTTATTCGATATGAAAATACATATCGAATGGAACCTGATGATGATCATAAAGTTGATATAGCTCGATTACGTCGTGTTGCAACAAGTGTTATTGAAACAGCTATATCTGGTTATAAATATGATCCAAATCAAGGAAAACAATTTTCTTTAGCCTTAGCTGAACGTATACGTGGTCAAATAAAACAATTACCATTTCAACGTTATAAACTTGTTGTACAAGTAACTATTGGAGAAAAGAAAGGTCAAGATTTACGTGTAGCTAGTCGATGTATATGGGATGTAAAATGGGACCGTCATTTAACAATTTCGAAAGAAACATCAGATGCTTATGTAACTGTAACAATTTTTCTTGTTTATACAGACTAATAAAAACATTCTTTCTTTTTTTTTCTTTTTTTAAAGAAAATATATATTAAATAGTGAAATGAAGTATACATTTCTTTTCAAACACCTACAATCGATTTACCACCCACATCTATCGATAAATAAAAAACATGACTTAGAATGATTTTATATATTTTTCTTCTAATTTATATATGATAGAATATCTATTTCAGGTGATAATCTTTTTCGTCAATATCATGAATATAAGATAAATGCTCTTCAATATCATTCTTTTCTTCCTTTTTTTTTTTGACTAAAAAAAGAAAATAAAGATACATTCATATAATAGAATATTTGATAATTTAAATAATTGACTTTTTTCTTTTTAATCCCTACTCGGTATTGATACGTCATATATTTATATACGTGGCACTGATTTAATATAAGGTTAGCAAGGAGTCTGAGTTAAATATATCTATATATAGAGAGAGTTGAAGATAGAAGACGAATCACTTTGATAGATTGCTATTTCGTTATCGACCAAAGATATTCAAAGATAAAATGATAGCTTTTCAATGGCTGACTATATCAATGATTTTAATTGTACTATCATTAATACATATTGATGCATTAAAACATCGATCTGTTCGACAAACTACAATTAATAAATGTCTAACTCCAGATAGTAAGAAAATTTAAAGAAAATATTTTAATTATTCATATTGATATTTTCTATCTTTAGTTCCGATATGTGATTTCGTTCAATGTGGAAATGGAAGTTGTGTAAAAGATGAAAACAGTCTCAATTGTTATCAATGCAAATGTTCTCCTGGTTATGTAGGTCAACTATGTGACGAAACTATTGTTCTTCGTATGATAATCTTATTTTTTCTTTCTTATATTCGATTTGATTCTTCTTATTTTGAATGTTTTTTTTTAAGCATCTTCATGTAATCCTGTATGTCAAAATGGTGGAACATGTGTAATGAATGGAGCTGCTTATACATGTAGCTGTGCAACAGGATGGACTGGACCAATCTGTGACATACCAGAGCGTATGTTTTTAATATTATTAAAAATAAAAGAAATTTCTTTCATATATAGAATGTTATATTTGATATTTTAAAGATAATTGTCCTATTGGATTCTGTCAAAATGGTGGTACATGTCGAATGGATGGAATGAATCCATATTGTAATTGTCCAACAATATATACAGGTCAACGATGTGAAACATTAATTCCAGGAACAACGACAACACCATCAACTACAATAACGACACAATGTAAAAAAAATCTTCACCTATATATTTATCTATAATATT